AGCCCTGGGTGACTGGACTGGAATTGGGCTGCTCACCCCAAGGTCGCCCATTTGAAACCACCAGCCACATCCACAGGTGAAAAATGAGGCTTCCTGGTCCCCTAAAGAGTTACAGTCTTGGACACTCACAGGGGCAGTGCCACCCTGTCCTTCAGGGTCACTACGAGTTAGCATCAACTTAATGGCCATGAGTTTGGTTGAAGGTTTGCTATCACTCAGGGGCATTGGATCATTGTCATCCTCGCTGTCATTTTCCAAATCACTGAGCCATCTGAATATCAATGCCTTGCCTCCCCCCCCCCCCAGCACAACAACACAAAACACCTTTCTCCCACCCTATTATGACCACTAAAAAGCCTTGGTTTCTACAGGTTGGCTTATTTCCTCTCAGTAAAATCATAGGTTGCTTGTGCTGCCTCGCTCAGGCGGCCTTCCAGGCCCATCCATGGTGTGGCATGCTTCAACTTCTGTCCTCCCTGGGACTGAGTCGTGTTCCATTGTGTGGACCCTGCCATCCTCCGGGCCACGTCCATCACTTGCACCTGTCATGAAAGGTGTGGAAGTGGGCAGGTGTACACGTTTCCGTTGAAGTCACGGCTTTCAGGCCTCTTGGGTACATATGCCCAAGAGAGGAATTGCTGTGCAAATCTTGGTGGCACGGGGATAAAGTGCTCAGCTGCTAAGGTGGTCAGAGGTTCGGATCCACTAGCCTCTCTGAGGGAAAGGGATGGTGGGATCTGCTCCTGCGGAGACTGACAGCCTTGGAAACTGTACAGAGCCGTTCTGACCCATCCTGCAGAGTGGCTGGGAGCCAGGATCCCCACCAGGGCAGGGGGGTTGGATGCATGGGTTATGACCACTCAGGAAGGTGACATTGTAATGGATGGAGCGACGTGACAGGAACCTGACAGCCTGGGCTGACATTCGGGCTCTCAGAAAATATTTACTGAGCACCCTGCCAGGAGCCCTGGTGGGTTGCGTGTCAAGCCTTGGGCTGCTAACCGCAAGGTGAGCAGTTTGAATGCCCCAGCTGCTCTGAAGGAGAAAGAAGAGGCGGCTTGCTCTGGTCAAGACTGACAGTCTCAGAGACTCCAGGAAGCAGTTTGACTCCATCCTATAGGGTCACTGGGATTCAGAATCTACTCGAAGGAGATTATCTCCCTACTCAGAGAGACAAGTGGTGCAGCAAACACAAGCTGCTCCCCCAGACCTGGTTCTGACTCATGGGACCCCTGGGCTGTAGTGGGTTCCACATGGAACTGCTAACCACTGGGTCAGCAGTGAGAACCCTCCAATTGATCCTCAGATGAGAGATGAGGCTTTCTGCTCCTGTGCAGATAGATGCCCCGGAAACACTTGGGGCAGGTCTGTGCAGCCCCATCGGGTCTGCATTAGAGAGCATTGGAGGAGATTGATAGAGCCTGGGCACTATTGAGCCAGCTGGGAGACTCTTTAATGCTGGGGCAGGCTCTTTAACCTGCCTGAGCAGGCTCCTTGAATGAAAACAGAGCTTGGGGGGTGGGGAGTGGGGGATGGGGGTGGGAGTGGCCGCTTCCCACAAACCCTGTGGTTTTTATGGGGCTAGATGTCCAGAAATCAGGGCAGGGACTGGTGTGATGTAAAAGCTGAAAGCAGCATTCCTTATTTTTAATCATCGTTAAATCCCTGCATGGCACTAAGAGCATAGTCCTGTGCAAAGGTCCTGGGGCAGAACAAACCTGTCCCGTTGAGCAGAGAGAAGGCCCCTGTGACGGGGACGAGAAGAGGGGAGGGGAGGGGGGGATAGAGAGGGGACATGGCAGGGTGTGTAGGACTCTGTGGATCTCAAGAAGGACTCGACCTTGCATCCTCGGAGGGAGGTGGGAGCCCTGGAGGGCTGTGGGCAGAGGGAGGGGCCCAGACGCAGGTGCTTGCCAGCGCCCTCTGGCTTCCGCGAGGAGAACAGCCTGCGAGAGGCCCCAAGAGGGGAAATGATGGCGGAGGCAGCTGCCTACGTCCAGGGTGAGATGATGGAGCTGCTGCAAGAGGAGGCAGAGGAAAGCTTTGAAGAAATGTCACCGTTCTTAATATCGCCAGCCAGTGTTCTCAGTCAAATCCTTGCCCTCCTGCTGTTTGCATTCCCCATTGAGATTACTGGCAATAAGCACGGTTTCTGAGAAAATGTTAAGCGTGTGAGTAGCACGGAGAAGGTAAATATACCAGGCGAGGGAAGAAAGAGAGGGCGTTTTGTGGGCGACCAGGGAGAGCCTCACGGAAGATGGGAGAGATGGGGCCGCGGGGAACATCTGGGGGCAGCATGTCTCCCCACTTAGAGGGCACCGCCCATGCAAAGGCCCTTGGGCAGGACCCGGCCTGGAGTTAGAGGAACAGTAAAGAGGACTGTGTGGCTGGAGAGAAGGAAGTGAGAGGGGGAGAGAGGAGGAAGGGAGTTAGGGCCTGGGACAGACTGCGGGTAGAGCATGGGGAAGGCCTGGACTTTACTCCAGAGTGGGAACCCTGGGGTATTTTGAGCCCAGGGAAGAGATGATTGGATTGCCATTTTATCAGGATCCTCCCACTGCTGGATGCTAGAAACAGGAAGAAGAGTAGATAATACAGATAACAAGAATGATAAGAACAGTGATGACAAAGAACACTGTGATCATCGTATTTTTATCATCATTATTATACAACCATTGGGCTACTAGCCTCCAGGCCAGCAGTTCAAAACCACCAGCCGCTCCACAGGAGAAAGACGAAGCTTTCTACTCCCGGAAAGAATGACAGTCAGGGAAACCCACTGGGGCAGTTCTACCCTGTTCTATAGGGTCACACTGTCATAATGGGCTTTTTGAGGGGGGCTTGGGGAGGGGGGCAGGAGAGTGGTTTGAATTTTTACGAACCTGAAAATTGGCGCTGTGAGTCGGTCCCCACTGGGCGTCAGGCAGTGTGTTGAGTTGTTGAATTGAAAGCTTGGCGGTTTGAACACACCAGCCGCATAAGAAAGTCCTGGTGATCTCGCCGCCCAGGAAACCTTCTGGGCAATTCTGTTCTGCAACCCAGCGGATGGCCCGGAGTCAGAACAGATTGGATGGCCACAGGTTGATATTGTTGTTGCTTGGGGGTGGGGGTGAGGGGTGGCCTTCAGGTGGGCAGCTGGGGCACTCCCCATCCCTGTCCACTTGCCCCCTCTGCTTCCCTTCTCCAGGCCAGTCCGGAGCTGGCAACAACTGGGCCAAGGGTCACTACACGGAGGGGGCGGAGCTGGTGGACGCAGTCCTGGACGTGGTGCGGAAGGAGGCGGAAAGCTGTGACTGCCTGCAGGGCTTCCAGCTGACCCACTCGCTGGGCGGCGGCACCGGCTCGGGCATGGGCACGCTGCTCATCAGCAAGATCCGCGAGGAGTTCCCCGATCGCATCATGAACACGTTCAGCGTGGTGCCCTCGCCCAAGGTCTCGGACACGGTGGTGGAGCCCTACAACGCCACGCTGTCCGTGCACCAGCTGGTGGAGAACACGGACGAGACCTACTGCATCGACAACGAGGCCCTCTACGACATCTGCTTCCGCACCCTCAAGCTGACCACGCCCACCTATGGGGACCTCAACCACCTGGTGTCGGCCACCATGAGCGGCGTCACCACCTGCCTGCGCTTCCCGGGCCAGCTCAACGCCGACCTGCGCAAGCTGGCGGTGAACATGGTGCCCTTCCCGCGCCTGCACTTCTTCATGCCAGGCTTCGCGCCGCTGACCAGCCGGGGCAGCCAGCAGTACCGCGCCCTGACCGTGCCCGAGCTCACCCAGCAGATGTTCGATGCCAAGAACATGATGGCCGCCTGCGACCCGCGCCACGGCCGCTACCTGACGGTGGCCGCCGTCTTCCGGGGCCGCATGTCCATGAAGGAGGTGGACGAGCAGATGCTCAGCGTGCAGAGCAAGAACAGCAGCTACTTCGTGGAGTGGATCCCCAACAACGTCAAGACGGCCGTCTGTGACATCCCGCCCCGAGGCCTCAAGATGGCAGCCACCTTCATCGGCAACAGCACGGCCATCCAGGAGCTGTTCAAGCGCATCTCCGAGCAGTTCACCGCCATGTTCCGGCGCAAGGCCTTCCTGCACTGGTACACCGGCGAGGGCATGGATGAGATGGAGTTCACCGAGGCCGAGAGCAACATGAACGACCTGGTGTCCGAGTACCAGCAGTACCAGGATGCCACAGCCGAGGAGGGCGAGTTTGAGGAGGAGGTGGAGGAGGAGGTGGCTTAGAGGCTCGCGGGTGCCCCTCCTCCTCCCTAAGTGGTGCCCTTCAACCTCTGAGACACACACACACACACACACACACACACACATGCAAAGACCGCATCACCGCCTTCCCAACCCCAACCCACCTCTGACCATGCATCCGGTGGCCCCAGCAATGCCACCAGGGCACTGAGACCTTTGACTGCCCCCAAGGACCTCACATCATCTCCCACCCCTTGCCCACCTTTGGTCCTTGAGCCCACCCCCCACCTTGATCTCCCACCCCCATGCACTCTTCCAAAGTCGACCCTCCCATGAGCTCCTGCTAGGCCTCTGACCCCGTCGACCTCACTCTACCTTCCACTCCACTTTGTTTACCTCAGACTTATCTGTCACCTCTGACTGGCCCTCCTTCCCCACTCCCAGGAGCACCATCGATCAGCCCCCGGTTGCCTTTGGACACCTCCTTGTGAGCCTCGCTTCACCTCTGACCCCATGGCCCCCACCTGCCCTCTGCCCCTCCCTTTGCACTGGCTTCTGCCCTGATCCCTGACCTCACACCACTCAGCTCCCATCTGCCTTGGCTTCCCTGAGGTGGGGGCACTCTGCTGCCGGGGGGAGGGAGGGGAAGAGAGGCCATGCCCCTAGCTGTCCCCACCTCAATAAATGAACCCATTGTTGCCCTGTTTTGTCTGTGTGGGATTCATCTCCCCCTGAAAGTGCACTGACCAGAGCCCCCCTACAGGATAGAGGTAGCACTGATAGGCTCGCTGGTGACAGGAGAGCCAGTAACTGGGAGCAGAGACCTGGGACCAGGCTGGGCACTAGTGGGGCAGCGGTGGCTCAGAGCTAGCTGTGAGCCTTGTGGACTATCCAAGCTCTCTGTCGATTTTCCCAGGCTGTCTGTCTCACCCTGGCTGTCTGTGTGCCTTTGGGTTTTCTGTGCATCCTGGAGGCTGTCCAAGATGTGTGTGTGTGTGTGTGTGTGTGTGTGTGTGTGTGTGTGTGTGTTGAGAGAGAGAAAGAGAGAGTGCCCCGGAGCTGCTCTGGCTGTATCTCTGTCTGTCTGTGCTGTATTCCGGCTGCTGTATGTGTGTGTGTGTGTGTGTGTGTAGGGTCCCCTGTGAATGAGAAAGGGGGAAAAAGGAAGAGCCACATTTTCAGGAATGTGGATTCTCAGCTGCCTCAAGGGGGGTGAGGCTGAGGAGGGGCCCAGGCTGGGCTTGATGGTGGACAGCAGGCAGGGCCCACCTGCAGGACAGGGCGCTGGCCTTCTCAGCCTGCCCACCTTTTGCACACTCACCCCAGTGAAGTCAGGAGGCAGGATGCCTGGGTCTTTTGAAGTGGGTGGGGGCAGGGGCCTCCTCCGGGGACGTCACCCATTAAACTTCCTCTCTGAGCCACACAGGAAGCTGAGCCAGCCGGGGCCCAGCCCCTCACCAGCACAGGCCCCCAAGACCCCTGGGGAGAGGGCCTGGCCACGGCCCTGCAGGACCATGGGATCCAACACTGAGTAAGCCCCCTCCCCAATCCTTGGGACCAAGGATTCCCAGAGCTGGCCTGGGCAGAGGAGAGCTGGGGCTGGGTAGGCCCAGGGAACTGGCGCAATGACCCCAGGGGAACCCAGCAGGTTGCCGGGATTAGGGGCAGGGCCTGCTGCTTGGCCCCCTGGAGACTGAGTTCCCAGGCCCCTTCGTCCCCCCTCACCCTTCCCCCACCCCCAACTGTGATTGGAGCTCCCACCATGAGCCGGGTGTGTTAGACAGGGTTCTCTAGAGAAACAAAACCAGATCTGGGTGATGGTGATCCGGTTCCAGGGGCTGTGGGTATGGGCTCCAGTTTAGCTGAGCTCTTGAGGGTGAGGAGTTAGGTGTGTCACTGTCCTGGTGTGAGGATACGGTGCTGGGGGCCCCAGGCCCTGATCTGATGTTCATCTCCACCCTCCCTCATCCTTCATCTTCCTGGGCCTCTCTTCCTCTCTCTCCCTGAGCTCCAGGACCCAGGGTGCTCTGCGTGGTGGGGGTGGGAGCAGACAGAGGCCAGGGCAGAAATGATAAGCTTACAACCCCAGGGCCTTCTTGGGGGTGGGGGGACAAAAACCACAAACCCCCTAAGTCCAAGGCCACACCAACTCGGGGCCAAGCCATGTGTCCCAGAACAGAACAGCTCCACAGGGCTTCCTGGGCTGGGACCCTATGGAAATACATGCCAGGCCTTTCTTCTGCAGGGCTTTTGGGCAGGCTCAAGCTTCAGGTTGGTGGTGGAGAATACGAATGATTTGCACACACACACACACACACACACACACCGAGACCCCAGTGTGATCACAAATCCCCAAACTAAACCCAGCGCCTGCAGTCGATTTCAGCTCCCGACAATCCCGCACGTGGAAGGGCACAGCTGTGCTGGGGAAGGGGGTTCCGCGCTGTCCTAGGACATACAGCCAAGTGCTCTATGAGGAGGTGGCGTCCGGTCTTTCAAACCCACCCATCCCAGTAAGGCCCTATCGGGAGAAAGGCCACAGCCCTGCAAAGCTCGTGGGGCAGGCAGTCTTGCTTTGCACACGCGGGACCACTGTCCAGCATCGCCTGGACTTTCTTCCACACCACCACCACCACCACCACCACCACCGCTGAGTGGGTTCAAACCACCCCCGTTTAGATTGTGCAGCCAGTCGCCGGCAACGCGTTCTGCACCACCCCGGGACACCTCCGGGGGACGTGCACCTGAGGTGGAGGTGGAGGTCCACCACCAGGACCCCACCAAGTCACACCTGGGACTCGGACAGGGCCTTGGCGAATTGGGCCAGGCCCAATTGCACAGCCCAATTGCACTTCCACGCAGGCAGGCCGCACAGGTGCTCTCAGGGCACAACACGACAGTCATGAAGAGCCCCCAGTTGGGTGGCTGACCCCATCAGGGATCAAGTTAGAAATCCAAGACCAAGGGTCCCCGGCGCCTGACTTCTCTGGAGCCGCCTGGCTCTTCTAGACACTAGGGGCAGACATGCCAGGGCTCCCCCCAGTTGATGGCTTACAGCTGCCCGACTCCAACCTCTGCCTCCGTTCTCACCTGGCTGGCTCCCTTCTGCATATCTCTCCTTTTGTAAGGACACCGCTCAAGATTAGAAGTCACCCACTGCCAGTATGGCCTATGTCAGCCTAATTCATGTCATCGGCAACCACCCTGCTCCCAAACGAGAGCTCAGTAACCGGTGCCAGGGACTGAGCAGTCACAGTTTAACTCCACATCATGGACATGGACCCAGTCTACACTCGCCCCTGCTCAGCCACACACACCAGGCCCCATCTTGTCGGACACACATACAGGACAGACACCACGTGGGATCACAAGCTCACACACACGTCATGTTCTCAGTCACACACACACACGTCATGTTCTCAGTCACACACACAACACACAGAGCGGGCACCCTCTCAAGTAAACCATGACACCTTGAACTCACAGCCACAACACACACACACTCTTTCTCTCAACACTGATGCACACATGTGTTACATAACCACACACCACTACAAACACCAGGGAGGGCACACATTCGGGCGTACGCACAACAGGCACGCACAGTCAAACGTGTGCGCACATCCACACACACTCAGTCACAGCTTGTGCACAGCCAGTCACACCCATATGGGCTCACCAAATGTGTTGGGCTGGCTGGCTAGAGAAACAAATCCAGGGAGACTCATAGGTGTATAAGAAAGAGCTTTATATCCAAGAGCAATTAAATATTGAGAAAACATCCCAGCCCAGTTCAGGTCAAGTCCTTAAGCCCGGTATTAGACCGTATGTCCGATACCAATCTATAAATTCCTCTTCAGACTCATTAAACACATGCAGACCACAAATGCAGGAAGATCACAGGCCAGTGGGTGTAATGTCCTGTGGATCCAGTGGTGGTGGAAGCATCTCAGCCCTGGCGTGGGTCTCCACGTGGCTCTAGCTCCATCAGGCTCATCGTCGCCAGTAATGTCTCACAAGATGTAAGCAAGTGTCCTGACTCCAGTGAGCTATTTGTCTCCTTAGTGCCTCCAAATGAGGTCATCAAACTGCGACCTGATTGACAGGCTAGATTCCACCCCTGCACAAGTTGACACCAGATTATGTTAACTACCGCACGTGCCAACCCAGCCCAACTCGAGTCCTTAGGTCTCCTGCTGGCCGGAGCCCTCTTCAGCAGCAGGTGGATGCTGCAGAAAGATGAAGCAGGAAGCAGGGAGCTCAAAGACCGGTGGGGGCAGAGTTGAGTGGATCCACAGTTGGTGGGAACATGGCAGGGATCTGACAGCTCCCAGGTTGGCTCAGGGTCGGCAGCCCACGTGGGGCTACCCCTGGAGGCAGACACAGAGTCCCAGCCAGCAGGGTGAAGAGCCAGCGAGAGAGGTTCCTCGTGTGTCTCTTATAAAAATGCCACACACCCCAAGGACAGGTTGGACTCCACCCCTACCTCCGCACAGGTACCTTCAACTTGGCATAAAATCTCACTTACCTCACCCAGTCACACCCTTGTGACCAGTCGCACCCAGGTACACACTCCAACACGCCCGGCCACACACGTGGGCATACCCAGTCCTGCGTGTGCACAGCCAGTCAGACTTGGTCATACCCTCGTGCCCATTCAATCACCACATCAACCCCATGCTCCTTCACTCCCAGTCACACCCAAGCACACACTCGTGTAAACTCAGCTACACTGAGGCCCAAAGGAATGCACACAGCCACACATAGACACACTCACAGTCACAAACCGTTAGGACCACACGTGCACACACATGCACACACACGATCGTCACACAGGCACAGAGCAGCAGACACACACACCCCAAACACAGAAGCAAGACCAGTCCCAGATCCCCTAAGCCTCTTCCTGTTCCGCAGAGGGAGCCCCCCTGCCTTGTTTGACTGGTTCTTCGAAGCAGGCTGCCCAGCCTCCCTCCAGGAGGGTAAGTGGGGGTACCAAGAAGGTGTGGGTGAGTGAAGGGGAGCTTGGGTCCTGAACTCACTGACCTGCTCTCCACCTAGATCCCCCCATCATGCGGCAGTTCCCCCCAGACTTCAGGGAGCAGGTATGCAGGACGGTTCCTCCCACCCAGGGTCAGGGCCAGCTACCCAGGGAAAAGGGGGCTGGGGTCTTGGGATTGGAGCTCAGGAGCAGAGGCCCAACCAGGATGGCTGACTGGTCTGTGCTCTCTCCTCTCTCAACTCATAGGAGGCCATGCAGATGGTGCCCAAATTCTGCTTCCCTTTCGATGTGGAGAGGTATGGAAGGGAACAGATGCCCACACACCCAAGGGCCCCACATACCCAGGGTCCCACACACTAAGGACCCGCATACCCAAAGACAATGGAATCCAGATACTTGGGGACCCAAAGACCCGTGTTGTTGGGGATGGCTGTGGGTCCAGGAGACAGGGTACCTAGATCTCTCAGAGTCCTCTCCCCCTGCAGGGAGCCACCCAGCCCCGCTGTCCAGCACTTTACCTTCACCCTCACGGACCTGGTGGGCAACCGCAGGTTTGGGTTCTGCCGTCTGCGAGCCGGGGCCCAGAGCTGCTTGTGCGTCCTCAGGTGCGGGCCTGCGGTGAGGGCTAGTGGGGAGCACCCTAAGGGTGGGACATGGGGCCTAGGGCTGCGGCCCTAGGCTGGGGGGAAGGGGTCATGAAGGTGCATCTTGAGATCCGGGGCAGGAGATACACCTTGAGGTGTGGGCCTGGGGGCCTGGGCTGGGGTGAGGACAGGGGTGCACCCTCAGGTGTGAGACATGGGAACCTGGAGTGAAGGGGGTTGGGGACCCTAGACCAGGGCTCACTTACAGGGAAGTCTCTCTTGTCTCCCCTTTCCACAGTCACCTTCCTTGGTTTGAAATCTTCTACAAGCTGCTCAACAACGTGGGGGACCTCCTGGCCCAGGGCCAAGTGAGACCAGTCCCCTCCCACTAAAGCCAGCACTCCGCCCTTCCCTACCATGCCCCCACCCCCTCTCAAAACGCCTTCCAGGATCTGCCCAGAGCCCCTTGGCCTCACCTAGACCACGCCCAAACCTCAATTAACCCCCCCCCCCCATCCAGATCTCAGAAGTCGATGAATTGCTTCTAAACCTCCTGCAGCAGCCCCTGCCCGGACCCCAGACCTCAGTGGGGTTGGAACTGGTGAGTGACCCCTTCCCTGACGAAGGGCCCCAGGTGGACAGGGGGCTGCTCCAGCGCTGGGGAAGACAACACAGCGACCTCCCACTCACCTACAGGGCAGCGGACTGACCATCTCCAGTGCACACAGCATCCCAACCACCACCCCCAGGAACGACAGGCCGGTGAGTGGGGGCTTGGGGACCCTAGGGGATGGGTCACCCAGAGAAAACCGGCCTCCGAGTAACTGGTCCGGCCGTCGGTCACCCCACTAGCTTTCCTGCTTCGTGGCCCCTGATTCCGGCCGCCTGCCCTCCATCCCTGAGAATGTGAGTAGGGGGCTGGGAAGGGGCTCAGCGGGCGCATGGGCAGAGGTCCTGGCGGCCGCCCGCGCCCAGCGCTCTTCTCTGCTCTTTAGAGGAACCTAACGGAGCTGGTGGTGGCGGTGACCGACGTGAACATCGTGGGGCTGTTCGCTGCGCTCCTGGCTGAACGGAGAGTCCTGCTCACCTCCAGCAAGCTCAGCACCGTAGGCGGGGCCAGCGACAGGGGCGGGGCAGCGGGCCTGAAGCCCAGCCTCCTGGGGCGGGGCCATATGGCACGTCTCTGGCTCTGCCCGCTCGGATATTGAGGGCTAGTTGATTGTTTAGGGGGGTAATCAGTGGGGCATGGTTCTGTTCTGGAGCACTGGGTCCAGGCTCCACCCATATGGGTCAAATTAAGCCTAGCCCCGCCCTCCCGAGGGTAAAGTCCAAATTCAAACCGAGCCCACTGCTGGCAGTGGGTTCGGACTCCTAGTGACCCTGTAGGGCAGAGCAGGACTGGGCTATTCCCTCAGAGGATGGGTTTGAACAGCCGACATTTCTTTAGCGGCGCTTAATCCCACAGCACTACCAGGCTTCTGAGGGTAAGTGACAAAACCCCTCGAAAAATCAAACCCATCATCGGATTGGATCCTGACTCAGCGACCCTGTAGGTTTTCTGAGACTAAATCTTTGGGGGAACAGGTAGCCTCACGTTTCTCCCAACAAGAGTCCCCACGGTTCCTTCCAACCCAGTCCAAACTCAAACCACTGCCATCAAGCCAAGTCGCCTCCATAGCAATCCTATATAGGATTTCCAAGACTGCAAATCTTTATGGAAGCAGACAGCCTCATCTTTCTCCTGAGCAGGAACTAGTGGATTTGAACCACTAACCTGTCGGTTTGCAGGCCAATGTTCGCCAAAAGAACACCCAGTGCTAGCTAACCCCCGTACTCACAGCAAACAAAAATGAAACTCACTGCCGTTGAGTCTTGCCGACTCATTGTGACCCTATAGAACAGGCTAGAACTGCTCCCAGAAGTTTCTGAGACTGTAACTATTCACAGGAATAGAAAAGCCTCATCTTTCTCCCATGTAGCAGCTGGTGGTTTTGAACTACTAACCTTGAGGTTAGAAGCCCAATGTGAAACCACTACACCACCAGGGCTCCTTTTAGACCACCCAAGGAGAGCTAAATTCTAGCAGCTCCTAGGACAAATACCTAGAATTTGGATGCTGACTCCACCCCCTATGGGCAGGACCAGGAAAGGGCTAAATAATGGCCCCTCCCTGTGAGGCGGGGCTAGGTGGTGGCTCCTCCCCTGAAAGCAGGACTTGGGGGACTGCATGGTGGTGGCTCCTCCCCTAGGGGTGGGAGTAGGGGGGGGTGTCTAGATTATAGCCCCTCCTCTAAGGGGCGGGACCAGGGGGGGTGGTTGCAGGATGGCTACGCCCCCTATGAGGAGGGATCAGAAGGGGTTGAGCCCTAGCCCATCTCTCTGCAGGAAGGATCAGTGGGGGGGTGAGTTCTAGTTGCCCCTCCCCCGCCTGACTTTGTCCCTGACCCAGTAGCATGGGGGAGGCGGAGCTGGGGGAGCTGCTATCTCAGGCCCTGACTTCAGGGCCCCCACCTGTCCCCAGCTGACCTCGTGCGTCCACGCATCCTGTGCCCTGCTGTACCCCATGCGCTGGGAGCATGTTCTGATCCCGACGCTGCCCCCGCACCTGCTGGACTACTGCTGGTGAGGAGCGGGAGCCGGGGAAGAGGCCGGGGACCTGGGGGTGGCTGCACATGACATCACCCCTTGGTCCGCAGCGCGCCCATGCCCTACCTCATCGGAGTGCACGCCAGTCTCGCGGAGGTGAGTGGAGGCGGACTCGCGAATGGCAAAGACGGGGAGGCTCCCTTCCTCCCCATCCCCGGGGAGCCTGAGCTCCGAGCAGCCATCCCCACCCTCTACAGAGAGTACGCGACCAGGGCCTGGAGGACGTCGTGCTGATGAACGTGGACTCCAATACCTTGGAGACGCCCTTCGACGACGTGCAGGCGCTGCCCCCGGACGTGGTCAGTGTCGACACACACACACACACACACACACACACACACACACCCTCTCGGGCCACATTGGGAGGCAGAGGCTCCATCCGCCCACTGGCCTGAGTCCTTGTCCTCATCCAGGTGTCCCTGCTGAGGCTCCGGCTAAGGAAAGTCGCCCTGGCCCCCGGAGAAGGGGTGTCCCGTCTCTTCCTGAAAGCCCAAGCCCTGCTTTTCGGGGGCTACCGTGACGCGCTGGTCTGCAGCCCGGTGAGCACCTGCCGGCGGGGGCGCGGGGAGAGGGGCTTCGTGTGTCCCTCTGAAAGTCACGACAACGGTGGCTGACACCTGGCACCCCCGGAGCATTTAGTCTGTGCCTGTATTTGCTCGCCTGTAAAATGGGATTCAGGCAGCATGTGCAATCCAGCCCTGAGAGCCGCACGCAGACGAATCGGCCAATGCATATTAATGAATATATGCAAAGTGCTTGGAATAGCTCCTGGCACCTAGGAGCGGTGCGTGAACGCTTTCCTCTGATTTAGAGAGATGAGTACAATTATGGTGCCACTCATAGAGGAAGGAGCCAGGGCTTGAGAGCCCACAGCTGGAGAGGGTGGAAGCCACGCCTGCTGCCTCTCAAACCCACGTTTTTCACACTTTTTCTAGAAACCCGTTGCGGGGGAGGGTGTTCCAGTATCTGACGTTCCTCTGGCGTCCTCGCTGAAAATGGGTCCAACTCTCTCCCCTGGCCCCGCCCTCCGCCCCATAGGGGCCTGCTTGTCCCCTACAGCCCCCTCCACGGTCTGTCCCCCCGCCGCAGCCAGAGGGCGCGCGTGAGCCCCCGAGTCAGGTCCTCTGCCCACAGCCCTCCAAGGCTCCCGCCGCCTCGGGTCAAAGCCAACGCAGGCACACGGAAGGTGCTCAGTGTTTGCAGTAGAGATGATGGGTGGGAGGAAAGAAGCAGGGTCCCGGAAAACACAGAGAGACCAAAGAGTGGCTCCTTCTTCCAGGGCCAGCCCGTGACCTTCAGTGAGGAAGCCTTTTTGGCTCAGAAGCCCGGGGCGCCCCTGCAGGACTTCCACCGGCGGGCCGTGCACCTGCAGCTATTCAAACAGGTGCCGGGGGGCCTCTTCCCGTCACCTAGGCGGGTGGGCTCTGGAGGTCCGGACCAAAGGAATGGTCCTGAAGCTATAGAAGCGGGGCCTAGTGTAGGGGGAGGGGCTAGACGGACTCAGGGGCTTCTGGGAGGAGCGAGGCTGGAATGGACTTCTTGCATTCTTGTGTACCTGAGGGGTGGGACCGACTGGGCGGACTACTGGGCGCCTGGGGGCAGGGCAGAGCGGGGGGCCAAGGGGCGGGGCTGCATGGACTCTTTCTGTCTTGGGGGCGTGGCTAGAGACTTGCTTTTGGGGGCGTGGCTAGAGAGACGCGTTCTCAGGGGCGGCGCTAGGCTGGAGTGGACTTTCGCATTCTTGTGGACGTGACGGAGCGGGGGCAGAGGGGTGGGCTCAATGGTCTCTAGCGTTCCTGGGGGCGGGGCTTGGACTAAGGGGTGGCACAGGGCGCCTGGGTCTCTGAGGTGAAGCTGCTGTGGCTGCGGCAGGCGGAGACGGACGCCGGAGATCCTGAGCTCAGGGGCTGGAGCGGATCGGGTGAGGTCTCCCACTCTGGGTCTCCCAGGTGCGAGGCAGGGCTGATCCCTGAGCTGGACTCCAGGTCTTCTGACGGATGAGACTCTCAGGGAAATTGAAATAGAACCAAAGTCGTGGATTTTCCAAGAAGAGGGTTCTCCCAGAGAAATGAGGGGAGGCGGTCTGTGCTGACTCCGAAGGGGGCTGGGTCCAGATTGTCAACTCCCTGAATGTGGGGCCGGATCGAGAGGGGCGGGGGGGAGGGGGAGTGGAGGGCTTCCACAGGTGCGATCTCTGACCGCCAGAGGTGGCACCCGGACTCCTGGTTCCTTGGGAAGCGAGAAGACCAAATCTTGGGTCGCTGGAAGGGGCAGGAGCCCGTGGCTTCCAAATCTTGGGCGCTGCGTCCTGGCATTCAGAAGAGGGTCTGACCAGACTGTTCCCTGTCCCCAGTTTATCGAGGGCCGGCTAGAGAAGCTCAATGCCGGAGAGGGCTTCTCCGATCTCTTTGAGCAGGAAATCACCTGCAATGAAGCCTCCTCAGGTGAGCCCGGAGCCTCCGAATCCACCCCACACCCCCCTCCGTGCCACGGCCCCACCTCCCCCGAGGGCCCATTTAACCTCTTCCTCTCCACACCCCAGGCACGCTGCGCTCCTACCAGCTCTGGGCCGACCACCTTAAGGTAAAAAACACCACTCACTCCTTACCTCTGAGATCTTGAATTCCTTTCATGCCAACCCAGCCACCCTGATGCCCACTGATCAAATCCACTGCCATGGGGTCGATGCCGACTCATAGTGTAGAACTGCCCCTGTGGGTTTCCGAGAAGGTACCTTTTTTAGGAGCAGACAGCCTTCCTCTTTCTCAGGCAGAGTGGCTAGTGGAATTGAACTGCTGATCTTTCTGTTAGCAGCCCAACTGTAAGCACTAACACCATCAGGGGGAAACTGAGCCGGCATCACACAGCAATACATGAGGGGGGCAGAGGTGAGGATCCAGACCCTGGGGCCCACACTGCCCCACCGATGTGTCTCTGCAGAAAGGTGGGGGTGCCCTCCTACACTCCGTCAAGGCTAAGACCCAACCAGCCATGAAGAACATGTACCGATCGGTAAGACAGGTAGAAAGGCGGCACCCCTGGAGGGAGTGGGGAGTGGAGACAACACAGAACATTCTAACTCCACACACATGGTTAAATGCAAAAAAAAAAATTATTTTTAATCAGAACTGCCCCTGCAGTTAAACCTTGAACAATTTCCCCTTGCATTCAAAATGAACAACCAAGACTCCAATCCCAGTTTTTTCGCTTGCAATTCTGACCCCAAGTCCAGTGGTGGTTGTTGTTTTTGGTGGGGGGCGCCGTGAGATGGGATATCGGTCAGTTTCTGGAGCTCCAAACTGGCCACTGGCCACTGGCTTCTGGCCTCAGCCTTTAGCCCCCTGGCCCCGTTTTTTCCCACCATTCAGGTTTGGCCAAGCTCATTTACCTTCCAGTCTCCCCCTCCCCACCCATCCCTTAGGGAAGAATCATTTAAAAAAAAAAATTGCAGTACAGGGGACTCCAACCCCGGGGGCCACCCCATGTCTGTCGAAGCAGGACCATGCGCTATGGGAATCAGCTGTGGCTGATAGTTTTGTTGCTGCTGCTTTGGGGAAGCAGGGGGCCAGGCCTTTCTTCCAAGGCACCTCTGGACAGATGGGAAGCACCTTCTGAGCCACCCGGGGGGCTCCTCTCTTCCCCGGGGATACTTCTGAATTATCCAGAAGGGACAAAAGCTGTTGCTGAGGTGGTACATGAGGGGAGAATGAGCACAAGGAGGGGGTGTGAACTAGGGAGGGGCAGGTGGCAAGACAGATGGACGACAGGTGTCCCTGGGAACAGAAGAAGTGGCTCTCACACACCCTGGCTGCCCACCCACTTCTTGGTCTTTCCGTAGGCCAAGAGTGGCTTGAAGGGGATGCAGAGCCTTCTGATGTACAAGGTAAGCCCAGTTGGTGAGCAAGAGAGGTGGAGGAGAGTGGAGGAAGGGGCTCTGGGTTCACCCACCCTTCCCCTAGGATGGGGACTCTGGCCTGCTAAGGGGAGGCTCCCTGAGGGTCCCGAGCCTTGCCAGCCGCTCAGACCGTCTACAGCAGCGCCTGCCCATCACCCAGCATTTTGGACAGGTAAGAAAAACCCCTCTTGCCTTCTGCCCATCCTCACACCCCAGTCACCGGCTGCCAGGTGGTGCCAGGTGTCAGAGGCGAACTGGGCTCTACAGGGCTTCCAATGACTGTTTTTTCAGACAGCCAGGCCTTTCTTTCAAGGTGCCGCAAGGTAAATGCCAACCTCTCAGTTAGCAGCCAAACCCTCTCACCATTTGCAATTCACTGCCCTGGCCCCAGACACACCCCAAAACTCCAAACTCCCTGCTACCAAGTCGTTGCTGACTCACAGGGTAGAACTGGCCCTGTGGGTTTCTGAGACTGTCACTCTTGATGGGAGTAGAAAGCCTTACCTTCCTCCCTCACAGTGGCTGGTGGCTTCGAACCGCTGGCCTGTTGGTTAGCAGGCTAACTTGTAACCCCTAGACCCCCAGGGCTCACACACAGAGCCCTGGAATTAGCAGGGAATTATCTTTCCCTCCAGGGACCTCCCTTCTCTCCTCCCCCACCCCAGGATTCGCCCCACTTCTCCCAAATGATTGGGTCTTTGAAGCCCCTCCTGCCACCCCACCTTCTAATTCTGTCCTTTGTAGAACCGGCCCTTGCGCCCTAGCCGGAGACACAGGCTGAAAGAAGAAACTTCTGAGCCTCCAGGGTAAATCTGTGGGGCAGGGGGCTAGGATGGATGGGGTGGATAAAACCCACACCCCAGAGGCACAGGGGTGGGGGTCGGGAGGTCTGGGGGGGTCCTCAGACAGGTAGCTAAGACTGCCTACCCTGGGCCAGGATGCCCCCTCTGAGCCCTGAGGGCAGTGAGGGGTCATGGGCAGAGGAAGCCCTGGACAGCAGCTTCTTGGGGTCCGGAGAAGAACTGGATTTGCTGAGTGAGATCCTGGACAGTCTGAATGTGGGGGTCAAGAGTACAGGGAGTCTGCGGCCCAGCCAGAGCCTGGACTGTTGTCACAGAGGGGACTCGGACAGTGGCTTTAGCCTGGTGAGACACCCCCCACCCCCACCCCCCACTCACTTACCCAGTCAACTTCTGTGGGCCCACCACATCTGTCTTCACCCCACCCCTACCCAGCTTGAAGTGTCAGGAGGACCAAGATGGCACCCAGAGGAGGAGAAGCTACCAGAACACCAACCCCTTTCCCTGCCCACCGACCTGCCATCTCACCAATGCCCCCAGGCCTTGGATGCCTCAAAAGGCATGAAGACCCTCCATTCCCAGCTGCCCGCTGAGGCTAGCCCAGCTGCCCTTCCTCCACCACAGTCCTCACCTGCCTCTGCAGACCCAAGCTGCCGGGGGACCCCAGAATCCTCTCCTCCCCCCAAGCTCTCCCCCCTTATCCTACATCTCTCCCCTCCACACAAGGCAGCCGAAGAATCTGGAGTCTGGGAAAGCCAGGAGCGAGGGCTCTCCACCATGCCCACCCCTCCAGAAAGCCCTCCACCTCCGCCCTCCCCAGAGCCCAACCTTGATACTACCTGGATGCCCCAACCCCAGACTGTTTCCTCAAATCCCAGTTCTCTGGATGGCCCCCGAGATCAGCCTTCCCAGGGGCTGCTGGTGGAGCAGGCTCCTCTCCAGCCCCTCATAGAGCCAGGAGCCCCCAGGACCCAGCCCCAGGCCAGGAGCCAACCCCGAGTCTCAGAGCTAAAGAAATGCTTTGAGGGTTAAGGTTCAAGGGTCTGGCCCTCAATAAAGGCACCTAAAGCTAGAATTGGTCTGTCCTACTGAAAAGCCCCACCCCTCATCACTCTCCTTCTAGCTGGTTCCCAAACCCACCACCATCAAGTCAATTCTAACTCATAGGGATCCGATCTATAGTTTCCCAGACTGTAAGTTTTTAGGGGAGCAGACCACATCATCTTTCTCCCGAGGAATGGCTGCTGGCTTTGACCTTGGGGTTAGCAACCTGACAACTAACCCTAACCCACAGTTGTAACGGGGTTCCGGTTAAAGCCTCCCTCCCCCAGGAAGCTCTCCCTTGCTCCAGTTAGTCTGTGAGCCCTGTCTTGGTCTCTTCCTCCTGGACTTATATCCAGCCTCCCCTGACCCACAGCCACTCTGCGGCAGTGGTTACACATTGGACTGCAATCAGCAAGGTTGGCAACTCAAAGTCACCTGCAGCTCCACCAGAGAAAGACAGGTTTTTCTACTCCCATAGGGAGGTACAGCCTCAGACACTCACACGGGCGTTCCAGCCTGTCCTAGAGGGTTGCTATGAATCGGCATCCACTCAATGGCAGTGAGAGACTGGCTCAAAAGGAAGGGGGTGCGGGGAGAAGAATGTGGCAGGAGCCTTCATTAGGTCCCCAGTGGTACCAAAAGCCTTGTGCCTGAGGTCGGCGGTTTTCCAACCCATGCCTGGCAAATGGTTCCCATCAAGGTAACAACTAAGAAAACTACCCGTGGGACACAGCACACTTCTACCCTGTCACACACGTGGGTCAGAATGGGCTCACATTCGAGAGCGGGTTTGGCTTTCTTGTTTGGTTTTATTATTATAATTACAATGACATCACTACCAATGTTATAAAAAGGGGACAGGAAAAAGACTCTGGCTGCCCTGACCCCCAGGGGCAGTGTTTAAAGCACCTTCATCCTTTTCTATAGTTTACCGGGGCTGGGGACTGAGGGGGTCTGTGTGCCCAGGGAGAGATGTGCTTTTTCCCTGCAGTCACACAGCTGGGAGGAGGGGGGTGGAGGGGGACCTAGATGGGCAGGCAACCCCGCACCGTGTCCTTCGCGTCCTGGGGGGGCCGGGCCTCAGCTGCGTGGGAGCACTGAAAGGAGAGGGAGAGAGGCAGGTGTTGGGCCGGCTGGGTGGGGCTGATGCCAGAAGAGATGGTGCAGCAAGCAGGGCAGTGGGTCCCCAGCCCCTGCACCCCAGCTCCAAGTGAAGTCAAGCACAAGGGGCAGGCATGCTGCGGGGTTCCCAGGCCCACAAGTCCTTCAGAGCTGTCAGAGGCCCATCTCATGGGTGCTGTGTGCAGTTCAGGGTGGCGGCAGCAGCGGCAGCGGCGGTGATGGCAGCAGCAGGCCCCAGGGTTCAGATAAGCCGCTCCTCCGGAGGCAGCTTGAGGTTGGGGGGCGGTGGAGCGCGAGCACCCACCTGCTCCTCGCTGCTAGGTCGGTAGGTGCCCTCTGTCTGCCGCTTCTCCCGAAGCTTCCGCACAAGCAGCGCCAGCCCCACGGCCAGGAGCAAGGCACCCAGGAGGGAGAAGACCACAATGATGGCTGTGAGGGCCTCCTGGGACTGTGGAGAGAGGATGGGGTGACCTCCTGGCATTTCAGGCCTCAGCTAGGGGCCCTGCATCTCCCAACCTGCACATCCTTGGGGGCGCCTCCTTCCCGCATCCACCCAGATCCACCTGCCATTTTGGGGGTTTCCACCCAGGGTTCTTGAGCCCCACCAGCCACCGGTACTTCCCCTGTATACCTGTCACCTGGGGGCTCCTGCTACAACACACCTGTGAGCACAGCCCCTACCGGAGAGGTGTGGAGGACTCCGGAGCCCCTACACTTGCCATACTTGAGATCCTTATCTATCTCCATCCCCTCCTGGGGTTTCCAGGTCTTTCTACTGGAGTCTCTTGGTTTCCCCATTGGCCTGGAGGCCTGTCTCTCCTTCCTGCCCCATTCACCTGCCAACCCTAGAACTCTAAGCCCCTCAAAGGTGCCACATGCAGGGCTCCTGGCTCACCACCCCCTCTCACATTTACACTCAACTCACCAAGCCTCCCTCGGTGCCAGGACTAGTGGTTGTCGAGGTACCGTTCTCATTTTCTCTGGGGTCCAGTGGTGGGGTGGAGGCTGGCGAGGGAGAAAGATGGAGAAGAAAAATTAATCCCCCTGAGCATGATAGTGGCACAGGAGGAGAATCAAGGGAAATAGAGGAAAGAGCTGGGAGGCAAAGGGCATTTATAGAGGTCTAGATAAAGACATGTACATATGCAAATATATTTA